ATAAAAGTAATTTAACAATTGGTTTTAATACTATGGTAAATCGGTCCTCGTGATTTGATAGAATTGCCTAGGGTTTTTGCAAAAAATAACCTCAACTTTTACTTGAGAGCAGTTTACGTGCTGAATAAAACATCATCACATTCATACTTATAAAAATACATAATTATATGTTAAACTTTTTTTGATAATAGTTCAAGAATATTCATTATTTATTTCCGTTTAGATAAAGAGTGCATATTTTTAAGAAGTTTATGTGTACGGACTTAAAGTGTGAAATTATTTGTGATTTCGTATTTTAGGGGGGATAGTGTATATAATTTAGTTTATTATATGACTTTGTATACTAACGTCTTTATTCCGCAAATAAACAGAAAATATTTGTGGAAGTGTTTTATTCCGCACGTACGTGAATGGTAAAACAACAATGCCAAAGGACATAAACATAGTTGTATTCTTTCCTTTCAACACTTACCAGATTAAGTCAAGGTTAGTATTCTTCCATTTTATAAATCATTCATATTTTCAATTTTGAAATGCGTGTAATAGAGGGAAAAGAAAAACGGAATCGCTTCTTAATATTGCATCAGAAACAAATGAATTTTCTAATGCTTTAGAAAGGGTTTATATGAATTTTATAATGATTAAATAATGGTTTTAGAGAATGTCAGATGCTTGTTATCTGAAGGAAGATACGATTGAATGTGAAATAAATTTGTTCAAGAGGTTTGAATCTTGAAGTAGTTTATAAGAAATGAGTAAGAAAGGTAAGGAAATAAATGCATATTTCATTCATGTGTCATCATTATACAGTATGATTATTAAAGGAGCTCCACGATGCGGTGTCATATAGCGATTCACCTGTGTGTTTGTGTGTTTGTATGTACGTATGTATGCGTGTGTGTGTGTGTGTGTGCGTGCGTGCGTGCGTTTGTGCGTGCGTGCGCGTGCGTGCGTGCGTTGGTGCGTGTGCGTGTGTGTGTTATATAGATTATATTGTGAACTTAAAAAATCTGCTTGTGAAAAACCACTAGTCCAATTTCAACCAATCTTGGCAGGATTGATCCTTTGGCGAATAACTTCCAAAGTTGTTCAAAGAATTTCTTTCCATGCAGAAATCTGGTTGCCAAGACAACCAAAGGAATTATCAGAATAAATTTTTTAAAAAACTTCTTGTAAAGACCCAGAAGGCCAAGAGCATAGATATTTTGCATGAGGCATTGTCTGGGTAGACCTCTACTAAGATTGTTCAAATTATAGCCCTAGGGTAAAAATTGGCCCCGCCCCGGGGGTCATTGATTTTCACTCCTTTTTTGTACATATAGTAAAAACTTAAAGTAACTTCTTGCCTGAAGGTACAAGCCTTCGAACTTTGATAATTGGTATATGATATCATATATATGTACCCTACCAAAGTTGTTTAAATTTTGCTTCTAATGGCAAAATATGCCACTCCCCGGGGGTCATAGGCTTGCATAATGTTTATTAAAAAAAACATAAAAATATCAACTTCTCAAAATTGACAAAGGCTAGAGGTTAGATATTTTGCATGAAACATTGTGTAGTAAACCTATACCAATATGTCATTGATTTTCATCATGTACTAATAGAAAAAATTAAAAGATCTTCTTGTCTGAAAGTACAAGGCTTTTTAGAGCTTTGATATTTGCTATATAATATCACCTAAACGTCCTATAGGCCATGTGAAATATAACCTTCACCACCAAATTCACTAGTCGCAACTGCATGGAAAGATCCCTTCTCTGAACTTTTATTTGAATAACATTAGATTTAACCACAAACATTGACATGTGCTCTTTTGTTAACAAATACGTTATGGTGAAAATTTTAATATATCCACTAATCTGATAATAAGAATTAAATAGGTCTGAGATCCTACACTTCTATTTAGTGATGTATTATTGCGGTGGCATAGCATTTTTCACAAATGCAGTCTTGTAATATCTAAATTTAATGTTAAAAATATGTAATCCCTTCATATGAAATTTGATATTATATACATTTTATTACTTTTATTTTAATTCTTATTAATTGATCAGAAAACTAGCAAGAACATATTACACACATAAATGGTTTTGTGGCTTGTTATTTTTGTTGTTGTAGTTGTTGTTTATGCAACAATGCACGCTAAATATTTCGATTCGAGACAAAACTTGAACATATTCTTAATGGGAAAAGTTTCCCCTTTAAATTTAAAAAAAACAAAAATATTTTCGAGCACCTAAAAACGGTTTTTCGGGAAAAAAATTGTTGTCCTGAAAAGTGAACTTGAAAAGCGGAAAAGTTTATGGACAATAAACAAGAACCGAAGTTAAAAAACCATAAAGAATTTAGTAACAATACTTGCCATTGGGGGATCGACGAGAAAAAAAACATTTTTTCGCTCAGTTTTAAAAAAATGTCCAACTCTTAAAAATGAAAATTTAAAAAAACTTTTTACGCTCTTGGTTTCTGAACTGACGGGAAAAAAAATCTGAAAAAGCTACCCAAATGGAATTTTAAATGACAGACTCTTTCGGGGGAATTTTTCCCGGTTCCCTTTAATTTTAAAAAAAATCCTTTTAAAAAACAGAGAAACCCCTTCATTTAAATTTTAAAAAATACAAGCCAATTTAAAAAAAGCGTTTCCCAGCGTCCTTGATGAATTTAAGGGGCTTTCACAAGACGAAGTCAAACTACTGATAGGCGAATTAAACACTAAGTCTTGTGAGTTAGACATATTGCCTACACATGTTCTCAAACAATACCTAACACATTTACTTCCAACTATCACTAAACTGGTAAATCTATCGTTGAAACAAGGCGTGTTCCCATCAAATTTGAAACAGGCTATAGTAAGACCTCTTTGAAGAAATGTGGGCTAGAACTTACATATAGCAATAATAAGCCTGTGAGTAATTTGAGTTTTCTTTCAAAGCTAATAGAAAAAGCAGTACTTTTAAGACTTAATCATCATGCCAGCCAGCATAATGTTATGCCAAAGAATCAATCTGCATACAGACAAAATCATTCATGTGAATCTGCTTTACTTAAATTGGTAAATGACCTACTCTGTGCTATGGAACATCAAGAGGTTACAGCACTTATTGCTTTCGACCTTAGTGCAGCCTTTCACACTGTTGATCTTGAAATACTACTGGATGTCGTCAAACAGCAATATAGTGTTAGTGACAAGGTGCTGTGTTGGATTGGTTCTTACTTAAATGAACGTACTTGTGTAGTAAGCGTTAATTCATCTTTGTCAAATCCTCATCCGTTGGAATGCAGTGTGCCACTAGGAAGCTGCCTAGGACCATGGCTATATCTTGCATATTTTGTTTGTTTGTTTGTTTCATTTTACGCCTTTTTCCAACAGTATTTCAGTCATATAGGCGGGAAGTTTCCTAACCATCGTTCCTGGAGAGTTACACCAGTACAAGACTACCTTCCTCCGCGCTAAACTACCAAAGCATCTCCCGGGGATCGAACCCACGCCAGAGAGGTAACTGGATTAGAAGTCATCGACTCTAACCCCTCGACCACGGAGGCGGTCTATATCTTGCATATGCAGGGACACTTTTTGACGTTATACCGCCCTCAATTTCCGTCTATGGGTACGCACATGACCACATTGCTCACAAAAATTTCAGGCCCGCAACTCAAAACAGTGAAACTAAAGTAATCAAAGACATCGAGAATTGTGCAATCACCATAAACGACTGGATGAACCAGAATAAGCTGAAAATGAACACTTCGAAAACCGAGTTTATCATTTTTGGAAGCAAACAGCAACTTGTCAGACAACTGAAATTGACATCGCCGGTGACAAAGTCAGTCGCATAAAATGTATTCGTTACTTAGGAGCCTATCTCGATGAAACATTAAACCTTAAAGAACATGTAAAAAATAAATGTAGAACAGCCATGCTCAACTTTTTTAGAATTAAGAATATACGCAACTGTCTTACCAAAGAAGCAACATAATTCTTACCTTAAGTCTAGTGATCTCACATCTTGATTACTGCAATGTGATTTTGAATGGTATTCCCGATAAAGACATTAACAAACTCCAAAGGATTCAAAACATGTGTGCAAAGTTGGTTTTAAAACCTCGGAAATTTGATAGTTCTAAACAGGCATTGTACGATTTGCATGGGTTACCTATTAAAGCAAGAATAAATCAGAAAATTCTAACATTCATGTACCAATGTTCTGTAGGCAGTGCACCGCTTTACCTGGCTGAACTTTTAAGTCGGCAGGTTCCAAAGCGACAAGGGCTCAGATCAGCTGATTTAGTAGACAGTGTTTACGAAGTGCCTGTCAATAAATAAAAAACATTCAGTGACAGAAGTTTTGGTACGGCGGGACCGAAATTATGGAACCAATTACCAATAGATAAGACAGTCTCAGTCTCTAGATGTGTTTAAACATAAACTAAAAAGTCACTTTTTCAATAACTTCTACTCATTTTTTAAATTTAATTCTTGACTTTAACAACTACGGTGATTCAGAACAATTTGCTAAGCAATAATCTAGCACAATTGCTATTGTAAAGTTCAAGTATCTTCTGCGTTTTAGTCTGATATTTTTACATAACTTATGTGTTTTATCAGAAATACATGTATTGAATTTTTTAATGACTGTGTAAGATAACTATATTTTTATATGTTTTAGTTGTTTTAATTCGTTTTTATTCTCTTTGTATTATGTGCTGGGTCTCTGATATTCTACGGTATATTTTAAGCAATAATTCTTATTGTTTAAATTGTCTGTATCACTTTTAATATTTGTATTTTAGCATTTTTAACACTGCATTCATGTTAAAACAGTATCATTATGGGATTTTAGTTTAAATTGTATTTTATTGTTATTGTAAAACGCCATTGAATACATGTTTTATTGTAAATAATAGGCGTTTAACCAAATAAACCAGTTTCAGTTTCTTCATTTAATCACGTAGCAATTTACGCGTTGTGAAGAGATAAATTAAATATTGTTTCAAGAGACAAGTTAATGCCAGGAAGTTAAGATGTCGGTTGTAAAGTGGTTTTAAAACGCAACTGTTCAACTATGTTCGTAAGGAGTAATTAATAAATGATGTATAAAACATTCGCTTCATCATTTAATCAAATAAAGATATGTTTAGAGTATAAGTTTGACTGACTTGATGATTTAAGTGAAAATGTAAAAGAAAGATAAGACAATACAAAATGGTAGCAAATGTATCATTCTTCGTTCTTTTGTCAGTGTCATGTTGTAAAGGTAATAATATTAACGTTATATATCTAAATTGATTCTTTCATAATATCTGTATTTTGTAAGTTATATGTTTTTTGCAACCTGCTTTTTTAAATAACAATTAAGGCGGTTGTTTTAGTAACATTATTATGTTTTGTATATTTTTGTTAACATGCGCAATTTTCGTTTTCAGTACAAAGCTTGACAAAATTCACTATCTCTAATAAATTTAAGTAAATAGTAAGAAAAAACAACTTTTTATAGCAAGGAGTACACTTGACAAAAATTGTTTTGGGGTATCATTAGTTAAAAAAGAGGGACTATTTCTTAAAGAAGGCGGGTATAAAGACCCATTTTCAAAATGAAACCTCTTCATCTAAATTTGATTTGAATAATGGTATTATTAGTGATTTTGCTGTGTTTATTGATTTTTGCCATTTTTGCTAGTATAATGTATGGTTGTATGTTGTTGATATTGTGTTTAAAAAGATAAGGTCAGTTCTTTACAGCTGTAATCATAAAAAGAATGTATAGGAAATTACCGAAACAGAATATGTTGAAGGTGATTTTACCCTAACATCTTGAGTTTTTCTCCAATTTAATATGAACTATGGAAATATAAGTATATTATAGGTATATTTGTTTTCACATTATAAAGGTACGCTCTACATACCTACTGGAACCTCTCACTGGCAAGGTTACAATAATGGTTGTATTCCAGCCACACCAAAAGTAAAAGTTGGTACTGACATGAATTATTATGTTGATGAAAGTCTTGGTGTAGATTTGCCGTTCAATGACAAAGTATGGGTGGGTTATTACCAGGTATTGAGAGTATTTGAGTATATAGGTAAGTAAAAAATGATTTTATGTACGTCATTTGGTTATTTTTTATGTTATAACCAAGTACTGAAAATATTACTCAGCAATGTATAATTTTGAAGAAGAAAAATATATTTGTAAAAAACACGTACATAAACGAGTTTCTCGTAATATAATAAAAGATTTTAAATTTTATTACACACTACATGTGGGCAATATACCCAAAAGTGACAAAAGCGACATTGTGGCCATCCAAAGTGTAAATGGTCCGTGACCAGGTAAAAATCAAAATTACTAGATATATTGCCACAGATGTGTTCAATCTTATATATTTTATAATCCATGTGACCAACGGAATATTCTAAACATATCCTTCATAATATGTCAGTTATTTTAGAAATTCTATAAGAAAATGGAACAGATTTATAATATAGGTCGTTTTCTCAATGAATCATAAACATTTTTCATCGTCAATTATTGGGCTATCAGCCTAAAGTTATGATAGTCAATCTTTCGAAATATATTACTGATTTGACAGAATATGGCAGCGAAAAAAAAAACGAGCATGAAATCATATTTATTACAAACACACGGGAGTTGGAAAAAGTATTAATTAATGATAATTATCAATTATAAGTATCAATTAATAATAATAGTATAATAATAATAATAATAATAATAAATATAAAATAATAATAATAATAATAATAATAATAAATGTGTATAATTATAAATGATAGTCTAATAATAATAATAACCTGACCATTACATGCACTATTGTTGTTTGGACATTTATTATGATAAAATATATAATGATATATAGGGATGTGAAATACGGCTCGGCAGACCATACTACTTCAAACTAAAGTTCCCATAAATCCTGGAACATGCAATATCGCATAAATCGTAAAAGAAATTCTGGTTATACATTGACTGGTACATGAAAGACACGGTTAAAGTCTGAGAAAATTTAAAATCTGTATAAAATATTTCAATCATAAATAGATGATAATGCGGAAAAAAATGTATATGAAGAAGAAACTTGTTTACAAACAGATGTTTAAAAATTGAACTTTATTTTGCTTCTCAAACCTCAAACTCTGCTACTTGATATTATTTTCCGTGTACATCAATCTGCTACTTTAATTGTTAGTCATCTTTCTGACAAACAAACATTTTGTCCGACACTTTATGAGCATAAAGTATCAGTCAATTTATACAAATTAAAGGAGAGAGCATTTAACCCATTACTGCATGAGCATTTTGTGAAAAATGGCTTTTTTCATTGAAAAGTCTCCCGTTACAAGTTCAAATTGCTATAAAACTATAAAAACAGCAAAACAGCTTGAATACTAATCACACTTGGCACAAATGTTTACTGGACCATTGTATTTGTAACAACGTGCTCAGTCCTAATTTTTCTGTTACCATGGCAAAGAGTGGACATCTAAAATTTGCCAAAAATCACTATTTTGCGTTGATTTTTCCATCAAAATTGATTTCAAAGTGCTGCAACTTCTCAATGGATTGAGATAGAGTCAAAGGCTTTTCAGCGTTGGATACACGTTACCTTATGATTGATCTGGGGTCATTTTTAACCTCTCACAAGTCCATAATAAAATTTTCTTGGCGATGATGCCGCCCCCTTCAAACCCCTAAACAGAAGGGGGCATATCCCCTTTCTGGCACCCCCTGATGTATCGTTTAGATAGCGATGTCTCAAACAAAAACAAGTCTGGGGGCCTTAATAAGACATTTTTTCACCATTTGAGACATCGAAAAGGGGGGGGGGTGAAAAAGGCGTTAAAAGGCATGTTTATCTGGTAATGCGTTAAACAATTTAGAAGATTTTTCTTTGGCTAAACCAGTTATTTATATGATCCGGTAAACTACATGTACATAGATACACGTGCATTCTGTACATTAATTTACATTATTTATAACATTTAATTAAAGTTAATCAATGACAATAATGTAAAGTTAAGCGATTTTTCGTTACACGAACGTTCACGAAGAACATAAATTCTATTTCAAGAAATACCGATTAAACATACAATTATGATACGTTGCGGCTTTAGATGTATTCTTATCGCATCACTTTACAATAAATCTATTTTATATTAGCGATATCTTATATATTTAGGATGTGTTTCGATGGAAAGCATTGTCAACAACGAACAACATCCCATTGTTGAAATAAACGGTGATCCTGGACATTGTTTTCCTGGATGTGGTGATCACACTATAGTTGGCGTTACAAAAACAAAGGTAAATTTTGTTATAATTTATGTTGCTTTTAAGCAATTTCATATGTCGATACATGTATATATCTTTTAGTACTTTAGTATCTACATTTATTTGGATGGTTGTAGAAGCATATGGTGAAAGGTATTTCTTATGTGCGGTTGAGATTTTCTGAATACAGTGCAGCAATAGTAATGATGTAAAACATTGAAGACTCAGTTTGATCGAGTCTGTTCATGACAGTTAACGAAAAGTTCAATATCCCTCATTCGCATTGACAGACAATAGGTAAAAACTTAAAACTAAAAGAGCTGGAATAATGATTTGTTATTCATTCAATTGGAAAATATAATAACACTTGGCGTGAACTGAATGAGTTGTAAATGTTTAAAATAAGATACATTTAATTGGGACAAAGTTAAATTGTATAATATAATGACATCATATAATAGAAAAAGTATATTCTGAAGTAAATGGCCAGTCTTTGACCAGTCTATGATCAATATACACCATCTATTAACAATGTGGAGTGCACCATTGCTTTAAAAAAGAAAAGCTAGGAAAAGGCAACAGATTTCATGCCAAATTAGTTCTATGTATGTCTAAGGTACGTATGTGTATATCAATTACCTTTATTGAAAATGTTTCACTTATCCGATTTATATCTGTAAAACCAACAGTAAAAGTTAACGACAACAAAATGTTTAAATTCTGACTTTTATCAGTCACATCTTTACCATGCTTGCTTTGTATTTCAGTGTTACTGCCTGGGTTCAGACATATTGTTAAGACATCCTACACAGACCGAATGTACTCACAAATGTAATCATCCTATTGTTTCGTGTGGTTATGATCATACGGTTATGAATCATGCTTTCCTATCAATTTACAAAATGAACCCAAGTGGTAAGTTCCTTCGATATATCGAGAGCATTACTTAATATTATTCCATGTCACCGAGATGTATCATAGTAATGTTTAGTTATATAATTTACAGATAAATATGGTCCAGTTAAGCTGAACCATCATAAAAGTTTTCTAAAGGCTCTCTACCTAAGTATTCAGTGTTTAACAGGTGGTCTTTGGTCGCAATATTAGAATTCCTCTATTTCTGTACCTGTTTATTATGCATATTATGCATTTATTAAAAGTACGTTTACGTTGAATGCAATTGACAAGATATTAATATTCTATTATCATATTTGTTTTTGTTTGTTTGATTTTGTTATGCGTCACACCGACACATTATAGGTAATATAGCTTTACTGTGGAAGAAAATCTCAGGTGCCCTTCCGGCACGAACGGGCACCTGAGTAGAACCACCACCGCCGTTCCGTACGCAAGCTTGAGATATTTGTCACGTACCCAGCTTCTCTTGATTATATTACTGCTAATCTACGACTCCAAACAAAGACAGTATCATACGATGAGAATATTAGAATTAAAATCTATGTTTGAATATTTGTTTATTTCAGTCACAGCTAGCGCAATACACTATGCTCAAAATGAGGGACGTAACTGTTTCGCTTTTAATCCTGTCAACCCAAAAAGCTTTTTTTGGCAGGAATGTACCCATGCCTTAGTACCAATGTGTGCACATGTTAAGTATATATTTAATCATTATATCAATTAATCATTTATTTTATTGCTTAATATTAATTGTTGTATTAATACTACTTGTTTGCAACGTCGGTTTTCACTGTAGTAACGAGATGCCCATATATTTTTTTACGAAGCAACACCTTGAAAGACGGTGACAGGTAGCCTTAACATTAATTTATATATTGCCGGTGTTATGGCCGAGCAGCTGGGAATATATGCCTACGAAGTTTCGGCGGTGTCTTGCAAACACTTTTAATGTTTAAAATTCCTGGTGTTTTAAAATTACATATACCGGTTTATACAGGTATTTTGTTACGTACAGCAGGGATAGACAAGCTTTTAAATGAAACTGTCGGATTTGTATTTAACCAAGGTATATAGATAAAATTCATTTGTACAACATACGATTCCTTGGCCTTTGCATTTGACACTGTATGTCGTAACGCATTCCGCAAACTTAACAATTAAACCTGTATCAATATGAATTGATAAACTTGGTAAAATTAAAATTATTACAGCTTTATGCGCAGTTGTAACAAAGCGAAATCTGTATTTATTGGGGATTATAAAAATTATTAAAATTATATTATTTTTTATATATTAAATACATATACTTATCATATATTAAATAAATTATTATTTAAAGGATTGTATTATTTTTTATAATTATATATATATAATATAAACAAGGGATACAAGTCGTGGCCTTGCACTACCAGCATGGGTTCGTAAAATGCATTCACACGTGTAAACTGTATAAAATATCTTCTATTCCATCAAAGTTATTGTAGAAGTTAATAGATGAACGAGTCATTATCCAAGTTCTACTACAAACACTTCATTAAAACCTGTAACATTGCAGGAAATAGCTAACATTTCAATATTTACATTGGCTGTCAAGTTGTCGTCCATTTTGCAGGTGTGTTTATGTTCCGAGTATTTTCATTGGCTGATGAAAAAACCGCTATTCGTCGCGGCTATACGCCGTTATTATCCGGATTATTATTATTCATTAGCCAATGAAATTGACAGTCACTAACAGAAGTTGGATTTACGCATGGAACATACGGGCAACATCAAAATGGAAGCCGAGGATAGAAATTATCAAAACAAACAAAAATTGTTACAATAATTTGTACCAGAAGTTAATGATTGCACCATTGATGGTGGTGGATGATTGAT